AGTTATCTGCCTGCTGGGATAATGTATTTAAGACAGGGGTCTCAAACTCAACTTACCTGGGGGCCGCTGGAAGTAGAATCTGGGTGAGGCTGGGCCGCATCAAGTATTCCACCACCGCGGCGGTGGTGGGCTGGCGCTTTGAAGGCCGCAGGGCCCCTCCCCCGCCCACCCCGGCAATTGGCCCGCGCGTTTGAGACCCCTGATGTAAGAGCACCAATTCAAAGCAAACTGTCTTTTTGTCTTGGCTGCAATAATTGAAGCATGTTTTAACAGAACAGTGAGCTTAGGCCAACTAGCAAAACAGTTCTTCTAGTGATGCATTTAGCTACCTAAGTGCTCAAGATTTTAGGAAGTGACAAGGGTGGCAAAAATATTAATGTATACCATCTGTGGTCACCATACAGTTGTAGGTGAATGAGTGCAGGACAACTGGTATCCACTTATTTTCACTAAATTGGATAAAATGCAACAGTGCAATGTAATAAATCTATATTAGATTTTGTACTCAAACTTGGTAGTTTTCTTACTTTTAACACAAACCCTCTGCTAATTTCCATTTTTATACAGCCCTGAAGATGAAGACATCAAGACCAACACACACTGTCTCTCCCCAAAAGATATTAATGCTATAATTAGGATCTAAAATTCCATAAAATTAAATATAAGAACTTGTCTTTCCCTGACTCATGTGTAAACTGTACCTTTCCATACCAGATAGTGGCCATCACGGAAAACAGGAACCAAACAAAACATGAAATATATATGTTTGTTGTAATAAGAATAAATATGCATACAGTCATGAATCAAGTTGCCATTTTTAACAATGGATTCGTTTTTTTTTTTTTTCAGTACAGTATGTACATATAAATGCTATGAGCACTAAGTGTAAAGAGAGCATAACATAGCACCATGCTAAAAATTAAAATTAAGAGAAAGCTCAGTACTTTATATTAGAGTTCCTGCATTGGCAGACTACTCTTTGTATTGAAAGTTGTGCTTGCTAAGCTCTGACCATAGCATATGTCTAGGGATTTTTTAAAAGATCATGGGATGTACTACAAAAATGATCCTTATAACGATTCTCAGAATGAATTCAAGAATTTAGATACCTGATCGGATATAAAGTGTAACCACAAACTGTTGATGTACAAATATAGATATTAATTTGTAATCAACATTTGAAAATGACCCTAATATAAACCTAGTCATGCAATATTGCCTTTTGTAGCTTGGAATGTACCTATCAGATCAGTCTTAGTTATCTCCCAAGACAAAAGGCCACAGCAGGAAATTAGGAAGATGTTTCCAAAACAATCTTGGGAAAGTTGCGATTGTTTTGATACAATGCATTTATACTAAAAATAGCCTTTAAAATGCTAGAGAGACTAGGATAAGCATGCATGTCTAAATTAGGTTAAGTTTCTGAAGTACAACCAAAATGTTTAAGAGTCTTTTTTAATTGGCTGAGCAAATTGAGTCCTTTGGTTTCAGTATTCAGTATTCTGTTTGATAGTAATTCCACTGAAAAATGAGACAGCAGAATGGAAGTTAGGACACATGTTCAGGATGCAATCCTGTCTGAAGTCCCAACACGATAAATCTCATACACATTTTCAAGGAACTCTAGATGGCATAATGCCTCAAAAATTAACTGAGTAGTAACTTTGCTGTAATACATGAGGTACCTAAAGCCCTGTAGAGCAATTTTAAGCACATCTGTTAACATTGTTTTACTGGAATCAATGCACATTAAAATTAAGAATACATAGAAATACAGAAACAGTGCGAGTCAGAAGGGGCCTCCCAGGCCATCTAGTCTGACCCCCAGCTCCAGCCAGCTCGACTCACGACATGCCCACCGTGTGCATTTCCAGCCTATCTTTGAACATCCTCACCGATGGGGCCTCAACAACCTTGTAGAAGCCCATTCCACAGCCTTGGGGTCCTAACTGTCAGGAAGTGCTTCCTGGCATCTAAATGGAACCTTGGCTCCCTGAGCTTTGCTCCATTGGAGTGCATCCTGCCTTCCTCTGCAGGGGAGAACAGGTCTCTACCTACCTCCGTGTGACATCCCCTCATATACCTGTATGTCACCAACATCCCTCTGAGTCTCCTCTTCTCCAGGCTGGAGAGACCCAGTTCCCTCAGTCTCGCCTCATACGGCATCCCCTGCAAACCGGCCACCAACCTTGTAGCTCTACGCTGCACTGACTCCAACCTGGCTATATCCTTTCTGTAATGAGGGGCCCAAAACTGAGCACAATACTCCAGTTGCGGGCGCACCAGTGTCATATAGAGTGGTAGTAATACCTCTCTCGATCTAGAAGCCACACTTCTGGCTATGCAGCCAAGGGTAGCGTTCGCCCTCTTGACCACTGCATCACACTGCTGACTCATGTTTAGCCTGCAGTCAACCAGTACCCCGAGGTCCCTTTCACAAGTGCTGTTCTCCAGCCACTTGTCACCTAACCTGTACTTATGACACCTATTCCTATACCCCAAGTGCAAGACCTTGCACTTATGCACATTGAACACCATCCTGTTGTCTCCTGCCCACTTCCATAGTCTGTCCAGATCCTTTTGGATCTGGAGTACCTGCTCCTCAGTTGCGGCCACTGCTCCAGTTTTAGTATCATCTGTGAATTTGATCTGCAGACTGTTCACCCCTTCTTCCATGTCATTAATGAAAAGATTAAACAGGATCAGTTCCAGGACAGAGCCCTGGAGGACCCCACTTGTCACTGGCCACCACCCTGATGATTCCCCACTAACGGTTACCCTCTGCTTTCAGTCAGTCAACCATGCCCTAATCCACCGGACAGTGCTTTGGTGTATCCCAAAACTCCTCAGTTTCTCCACCAGGGTATCATGAGGCACTTTGTCAAAGGCCTTGCTGAAATCCAGGTATACCACATCCACTGCATCCCCTCCATCTAGCCATCTCGAAACCTTGT